CTTAATCCCCTCTCCTCGCGCACCAGGAAACAAAGAGGGAAGAAAAAGTCTCTTGCCTCTTCAGCAGCTCCAGACTTTTTCCCGGACTCCCTCCCGGCTAGCCGTGGTGCACTAACCCCTTCAGGCTGTGTTCATGCCGCCAGTCCTCCCCCTGCGTTCTGACCGAAGCCCGAGCCTCAGCTCCCAGCCCCGCCCGCTCCAGCGGGTGAGCAGAGAAGCCTCTCGGGCTGGTGAGTGCCGGTCGGCACCGATCCTCTGTGCAGGAATCTCTCTGCTTTGCCCTCCGCACCCCTGTGGCTGTGCTCTCCTCCACGGCTCCGAAGCTTCCCCCTTTCGCCACCCTTTGTCTCCGCCCGCGAAGGGACTTCTAGTGTGTGGAAACCTTTCCTCCTTCACGGCTCCCTCCCACTGGTGCAGGTCTCGTTCCTATTCTTTTGTCTCTGTTTATTCTTTTTTCTTTTGCCCTACCCAGGTGCGTGGGAAGTTTCTTGCCTTTTGGGAGGTCTGAGGTCTTCTGCCATTGTTCGGTAGGTGTTCTGTAGGACTTGTTCCACGTGTAGATGTATTTCTGATGTACCAGAAGGGGAGGAAGGTGATCTCCGCGTCTTACTCTTCCGCCATCTTCCCCTAGATCTTCCATTTGGTTTTGATGTAACTTTTCAACTTGAACATTTTTGCTGTGCTATTTGGGGCCCCCTAGTGGCCAATTTAATAATGATATATAGATAGTAAACTGTCAATTAGATCTAATGTACCAATTATTCTTTATGCAGATTATTCTTTCTATGAGGATTAGATGGGGTCCCACGGGATATGTGGTTATAGTACTTATGATACTTAGCCCTCTTTGTTTTGTTATGGGTCAAGACTTGACACCTAAACTTACTATAATTTTGTTTCCTTAGTAATAATTCACTATTATAAACTGTTTGAAAATAGCGGTATATCTTTGTTTTAGCTGCTAATAAGTTAACAGCTGACATCATTGTTCTCAGCTCTTATTCTCCAATGTTAGATTTAGGTCCATTGTTGTATGTCTATTGGAACACCATATCCAGTTTGAAGATTGTGAAAGAAAAACCTGAATTACCAAACAAAAAAAAGGTCTGATTATTATAAAAATAATAAACATTCATTATTCTTCACAATAAAACTTTTAAAATATAGAAATCTTAAAAAAAATCATCCTTAATCTTGCTTCCCAATGTTTTTCTTTCTAGGATTAAAAAAAAATTTTTATTTATTTGGCTGCACTGCATCTTAGTTGCAGCACGTGGGATCTTTCAGTTGCGGCATGTGGGGTCTTTAGTTGCGGCATGCGACCTCTTAGTTGTGGCATGCAGGATCTTTAGTTGTGGCATGCAAACTCTTAGTTGCAGCATGCGGGATCTTTAGCTGTGGCATGTGAACTCTTAGTTGAGGCATGTGGAATCTAGTTCCCTGACCAGGGATCGAACACTTGCCCCCTCTGTTAGTCATTAGTCATTAGTTGTGGAGATATACATCTGGTGGTCATTAGTCATTAGTAATGGAGATATACACCTGGTGGTCATTAGTCATGCCATCAGATATACATCTGGTGGTCATTAGTCATGACATCAGATATACATCTGGTGGTCATTAGTCACCAGTGATGGAGATATACATCTGGTAGTCATTAGTCATTAGTAATGGAGATATACATCTGGCCTTCATTAGTCATTACATCAGATATACATCTGGTGGTCATTAGTCATTAGTGATGGGGATATACATCTGGTAATCATTAGAAGGTATTTAGATCCTGAGACTGAAAGAAAATCACCTAGGGGGTGAGTGCAGAGAGAGAGCCAAGTACTGGGCCCTTGAGTAAGAAGTTGAGGAGATGAGGAGGAGCTAGCAAAGGAGACTGAGAAGGAGCGACTGGGGAGGTAGTGTGAGGTGGGATGAGAATCAAGAGGATGTGGTATCCCTAAAGTCAGATAAAAAGAAGAAAGCGGTGATCAGTGGTGTCAAATCCTGCTGACAGTCCGAGTAAGTTGAAAATGGGGAGTTGACTGATGCTAAGGTGGAGGTTATTGGGGACCTTGAAATATGCCGTTTCAGTGGAGTGGTTTGGACCAATGCTTGACTGGAGTGGGTTTAAGAGAGAATGGGAGCAGAGGGAATATTGACAGTTCTTTCAAGGAATTTTGCTGTAGAGGAGAGCAGAAAAGTGGTGCAATAAGTGGGGTGGAGGAGCTGAGGAATAACACCTTGAGGAGCAATCACAGCATGTTTGTTTGTTGATGGAGATGCTCCAGTAAAGAGAGAAAAATCAAGATTTAGGAGAAAAGGGGAGACTTGTTGAAACCTGAGTAGGAAAGAGGGTATAAGATCTAATGTCTAAGTGAGGAAGAGACGGCTTTGCATAGAAGCATGAACAGTTAGTTCGTCTGTAGTAATAGGAAGTTGGGCAAAGTATATGGGTATGATAGAAGTGGGTAAATATGTTGTTGATAAGTTGTAAATGATCACCAGCTGCACTTGAAGGTAGGGGAGGAGATGCTGGGGATTTAAAGAGTAAAAAGGTATAAAAGAGTTATCTTGGAGAACGAATGGACAGGAAAAGATAAGATTGCTGGGTACTACCTTGAGGTTAGTGGTAATGAACTAACCAGTGACTAGTTTTCATTGGTTACAGGTGTAGAGAAGGCGGTGATTGAACTAGGGTTCGAGTTTAGCTGGCCAATACCTTGGAGATGAGAGCAGCAGAATTAGAGAAGTATGATAGGGAACGATTATAATAAGGGACCATGGAATCTAAGCTGGTTAAGGAGGGAAGTGAAGAATGAGGCTGTAAAAATGAAGTATGATCATTGTGTTCAACGTAGATCCCTTGTGGTCAAAGAACTGTTGGAGTTGTGCATTCAGAGGGGGTAAGTTGAAGATAGGAGAAAGTAGAGTTGAAAGCTTAAATTGAAATTAAGGAAAAATATGTAGTTATTGATAATGGTAGTTATATGATTATGAGAATGGATAACTGAGGTAGGGTGGAGAATAAAATGAGTGGAGGAGAAGAGGGCAAGGAACCAAGAGGCCAGGTTATTGGAAGGAACACCCACATTGATACCGAAATCACAAGAATTATAATTGGATAGGTTATTAGATTTGGAAGAGATGACCATGAACAAATCTTCAAGGAATGATAAGAGTGATTGGCGATAATAGCTGTTGTTTCCTGTACACTGCCATACTTCCCATACTTCCAAATGGACTTTTCATGATTTGAAACTTTCTTACCTTTTTACAAAGGACCCTGTACTCTCATCAGAAGTCCTCAAACATACCATGGTCTTTCATAACTCTGCCTTTTACAGCTGCTCGTTCTTTTGTTTAGATGCTTAGAGCCATAGTGCTTACCTTCCATAGGAGCATTGCTCCCCAGGAGACTACTGTTTCCTATTTATAGCTTATAGTATTTATTACATTATTTTTAAACTATGAGTTTACATTCACTACTTTTCTCTCCTTTTTGTTTTTTTAAAACCAGGCTGACAGTTCTCTTAGGCCAGGGACTTAATCTGTCTTTTTGTCCCTGTAGCACTATAAAAAATTTATCAGCAAACTCTAGGAATAGATCTATTTAATAAATACTCTTTGGGGATTTCCCTGGCGGTCCACTGGTTAGGACGCTGCACTTTCACTGCCAAGGTCATGGTTGTATCCCTGGTTGGGGAACTAAGATCCCGTAAGCCACGCAGCGTGGCCAAAAAAAAACCAAAAAAAAAAACCCACAAACTTTTTGAAAGTCAGTTATTATCAAAATATTGGTATGTTTCTTTATTTTTATCTCACTAAATATGATGCTTACTTAGATTTACTTATATCAAGTGCCACAGTTAATGAAAAACTGTTTAAATTATAATGAGTTTTTTAATCTGTGTATTACAAAGTGACTTTTCTTAATCTGGTGTATTTTAGAGAAGATTAAAAATACAGAAGCAACTATTGATTATGCTAACAGATTAAAGATAGATAATACAGTCACTTGGACATCTTGAAAAGAGCCTTGGTTTGTTGGGGTTTTTTTGCGGTACGCGGGCCTCTCTCTGTTTTGGCCTCTCCCGTTGCGGAGCACAGGCTCCGGACGCGCAGGCTCAGCGGCCATGGCTCACGGGCCCAGCCGCTCTGCGGCATGTGGGATCTTCCCGGACTGGGGCACAAACCCGTGTCCCCTGCATCGGCAGGCAGACTCTCAACCACTGGCCACCAGGGAAGCCCCAGAGCCTTGGTTTTTTATTTTCTCTCTGGTTCAAGCCTTCTGTTTTGATCTTGGGAATTGAAACGTGTGTGTGTGTGTGTTTACTTTTTTTTTTTTTTAATATTTATTTATTCATTTTGGCTGTGGGGATGTCTTAGCTGCGGCACTCGGGATCTTCGTTTCGGCATGCGGGATCCTTTATTGCGGCATGCAGACTCAGTTGCTGCATGCGTGTGGAGTCTGGTTCCCGGACCAGGGATCAAACCCCGGCCCCCTGCATTGGGAGCATGGAGTCTTACCCACTGGACCACCAGGGAAGTCCCTAATCTTGGGAACTGAGTTCACAGTTGAAGGAAGGAGGCCCTAAACTTACATAATCAATGGAGTAAAGGAAACAGGAGATTTAAAGGTGACTATAGTGCAGTTGAACAAATGCTGTTTCCTGCCTTCTTAACTAAGTTATTGTTTAAATGGTGCAAGTTTTTCAACACAAAAAAGTGACCATGCTAAGGATTTACTCGTTTGATGTTAGTATACTGAGCCTTATTTTCCTTAAAGAGAGTCTTTATGTGAGCAATTTTTGTGGATGCTTTGGTTTCTCCTTACGATTTCTTATATATTTCTTACTTTTATAATTAAATGGAGTAACGATGTAAATCACCAATTAATTATGTTTTTGATTCATAGTTTATATTATATTTGCTTTGGGGATATAAGTTAATATCAACTTATAAAAATTTAATGACAAAGGCTTATTTTAGATTTTTTATTTTTTCAGAAACCATGAGTGGAGGATCTCAAGTCCACATTTTTTGGGGTGCTCCAATCAGTCCACTAGAAATGACAGTATCACAGGAACCAACTTCTTTAGTGTCCACTGCGGACCCCTGGAAAGAAATTCAGCTTTTGTACAATCACCATTCCTTACATCTGAAGGATGAAAAATGCAGGCACAAAAGTCTTGAGGATTATCAGGCCCTGGAACCTCTGGACCCTCCAGATCTTCCTCGTGGTCATTTTCCAGCAAACTCTGTGAACAGATCTGTTCACGTGAAAGATGACTTCACACATTGCATTTCTGAAACACAAACTATAAAATCCCAGAAGAGTCACCCCTTGGGGTTGAGTGATAGAACCAACTCCAGTGATCAAATATGTGGATTTAAGGCCAGATTTCAACATTTAACTGAAGAAGAAAAGTATCAAAAGCTTTTCAGTGAACATAAGAAAATCACAGTTGAACAGCCTAAAGATCAATCAAATATACATGGTCAGAATGTTCCAAAAAATTCCTTTCAGTTAGATCATAAGTGTGCAGCTATATTGGATGTGATCTGTGGTGCTGAACAGACTAATACGGGGCCAGGAGCTATGGAAACAAACTGTGCACCAACAGAGCATCATGAAATACAAAACCAGTGTCGGGAATTATTTTCCTCTAGCACAGTAGACAAACCAAGGCCTGAAGGAACAGTTAGGAAGGTCTCAGGCCTTAAAATATCCACTGATACTGAATTTCTCAGTGTAATGACCTCCAGCCAGGTTGCTTTTTTAGCTCAAAGGAAGTATAAAGGGCAGAATTCTATAAATAAAGGAACCATTAAAATGGAGATTGAACCAGAGGCAAGTCATGGGGAAATAAGAATAACTGAAGATAATTTGATTCAGCCCAATGATGATTCTACAGAAGGATATGAAGGTGGACAGAACCAAGCCTGTTCCCTTGAACTTTTTAGTCCTGAAACAAAAAATAGCCACATTCTCTTGAACACCGATAAAGGTCTTGAAGAAAATATAGGATCTCAAGAACTTTTCCATTTTGATGATAAATTGACACCAAATGAGATACGCATTGAGTCCTGTAGCTCAGGAATACTGTGTTCCCAATTAAATACCTTCCACAAAAGTTCTGTTGAAAGAGGTTGGACCTCTGAAGATAAATCAGGCCATCCTCAAGCTCTATCTGAAGTCCCCCATGTCGCTAAGAAAATCAAGTTGATTTCTAATCAGAGAGATCATACTGTAACAGTGCACCAGAGGAATGTGTCTGGATTTAAGGGCATTAAAAAAACATCGTTAATAAAAAACTGTGATTCTGAAAGTCAGAAGTATAATTGTTTAGTCATGGTGTTATCTCCATGTCACGTGAAAGAAATAAACATAAAATCTGGACCAAATTCTGGCTCTAAAGTGCCTTTAGCAACAATTGTGGTAATTGACCAATCAGAAATTAAGAAGAAGGTTTTTCTGTGGAGGACTGCAGCGTTTTGGGCACTTACAGTGTTTCTTGGAGATATAATTTTACTCACGGGTAAGGTCATCATGGTATAGTGGGAGTTTATTTTACAAAGCTGTGGGCTTTTTCCCCCTCCCACTTTAAGCCTTTGAGGATTCTCCCTTTACCCTTTGCCTCTCAGGGTTCCAGCAATGATCGAGTTCCTTATGGCATCCGCGTTGGTCTCTTCACCCCTTCCCAGGGTCCTGTGCGTTGCCATTTCTGAGCGTTTGTCTGTCCTTCTTAGTTCTGTCCCTCCTTCCCACTCATCTTCTCCTTAAGAAGCCTTCTCTGCTTGCTCCTCCTTTCATTCACTGTGCTAGCATTCATGTCGTGTATCATCAGACTCTTTCTTTGTGTTTTATAGTTTTATTTATGTATATCTTTTTTTTTACCCTTTTCCTTAGATGTATTAACCATCTTATGATAAAAGGACAATACATCTACTACTTAATCCCTAATAAAGCTGTGCACACTACATTCTTATTGAGGGAACATAGAATGTCTATTGCATTTTAAAATTATTTAAATTACTGTAGGGCCTTGAACAACATGGATTTGAACTGCATGGGTCCACTTATATGTGCATACTTTTCAATTGTAAACACTACAGTACTCCACTGTTCGTGGTTGGTTGAATCCGTGGATGTGGAGGAACAAGGGATATGGAGGGCTGACTGTAAAGTTATAGATGCGTTAACCCCACGTTATTTAAGGGTCGCTATTAATCACATTTGGAAATATGGAAAAGAGAAACTCCTGGTATTATACCAACCTCGTATAACCGCCAGTGGAATTTTGGAGTGTTAACCTTCCTCTTATCTTCCCCGTGCTTCTCAATCTGTGTCTGCATACATGGGTAATAGCTGATATTTATTGGGAACTTACTTAGTGTCAGTCCCTGTTTCAAACTTTACGTGTCTTTCAACTCTAGGAGGAGAGCACTGATTATCATCCTCATTTTTCAGCTGGAGGAAATTGGGACCCAGGGAAGTGAAGTAACTTGCCCACTGTCACCCAGCTAGGAGGTGGCAAAGCAGGGTTTCACCCAGACTCCAGAATCCCTACTCTTAATATACAATTGTAATCATGAAAAACAGTTTGTATCCTGCTTTTTCACGTGAAAAAAGAAATCTTAACATTTTGTTACGTGTCCTTTATTGATTTAAAGATAAACACACCAGTGAATTAGGGCAGAGATACCAGTCATTTTAAGAATGAATCCCAGGACTTCCCTGGTGGTGCAGTGGTTAAGAATCTGCCTGCCAATGCAGGGGACGCGGGTTCGAGCCCTGGTCTGGGAGGATTCCACATGCCGTGGAGCAACTAAGCCCTTGCACCACAACTACTGAGCCTGTGCTCTAGAGCCTGTGAGCCACACTACTGAGCACGCGTGCCACAACTACTGAAGCCTGCGCGCCTAGAGCCCCTGCTCCACAACAAGAGAAGCCACCGCAATGAGAAGCCCACGTACCGCAGCGAAGAGTAGTACCCGCTCGCCGCAACTAGAGAAAGCCCACACGCGGCAACGAAGACCCAACACAGCCAAAAATAAATAAATAAAAATAAATAAATAAATAAGTGGACTTCCCAATCTTAATTAAAAAAAAAAAAAAAAGAATGAATCCCAGGACTTCCCTGGTGGCATGCAGTGGTTGAGAATCTGCCCGCCAATGCAGGGGACACGGGTTCGAGCCCGGGTCCGGGAAGATCCCACATGCTGCAGAGCAACTAAGCCTGTGTGCCACAACTGCTGAAGCCCGCGTGCCTAGGGCCCGTGCTCCGCAACAAAGAGAAGCCACCGCTTTGAGAAGCCCGCGCACTGCAACGAAGAGTAGCCCCCGCTTGTCAAAACTAGAGAAACGCCCGCGGGCAGCAATGACGACCCAACGCAGCCAAAAATAAGTGAATAAATAAATAAATTTATTTTAAAAAATAGCATGAATCCCAGACCAGGATGAAGTTGATTGAGCTTAATAGCACATCTAAAGAAAATGTGATAGAGAAGAGGTGTGGGTCAGCCTTAGAAGTTTATAAAGAAAAATCAAGGCAATCAATCACTGGTAATTCCTACCAGATGGTTTGCTGGGGGAGTGAGAACCTTAGCTAATATACACTGGTATTTGTGTAAGATTGTCAGGTGCAGTCCCTACTGAAGAGATGAACATGGGATTGTAACAGCTTGGCATAGTCTTGTCTTACTGGCGGTATCCTTATTCGGTGGCAGCTCAGGTCATCTAACTCAGCTCTGTTCTGATTCAGTGCTTGCTGAGCAGCCCTTTCCGTATGACTTGGCTTCCAAGGTGTAAAACTGCCTACAAGGTGAGAACAGGCTGCAAGTGTTGTTCTTTGGCAATTAATGCCTTGTTGTATATTTAAACAAAAAGATTGTGTTCTGTTTTGGGTTTTTTTGTCTCATTAACTGAGCTTATGCTGCAGAGCTGAAATCTATTTTTGGAGTGCTGAAAAAAATGAGGTTCCCCAGACCATAAAGAGAGGGTTAGACCGTGGACCATGGTTACTTTACCAAGGCATTACTGTCACTGTGTGTGCCTCCCAGGAGGCCTTTACCTAGCAGATGGAGACTCAACCCTGCTATCTCTCTATCTTTTCCTAGTGTCCATACAATTGTTAACAACTAGGTAACATTCTGTGAAGTGATTTACCACAATTTACTTAACCATTTTCCTATTATAGAATATTTAAATTATTTCTATGAACACTTTTTTTTAACAGGTTTTTTTGTTTGTTCTGTTTTGCTTTATTTTCTTAGGAAAAAATAGTATCTAGTTCACAATTTCAGAATAAGAATGCCTTACGTTATGCTTATTAGCAGAAGGGGTAAATGCATACTGAATATATATATATATATATATTTTTTTTTTTTTTTTTTTTTTTTTTTTTTTTTGCGGTACGCGGGCCTCTCACTGTTGTGGCCTCCCCCGTTGCGGAGCACAGGCTCCAGACGCGCAGGCTCAGCGGCCATGGCTCACGGGCCCAGCCGCTCCGCGGCATGTGGGATCTTCCCGGACCGGGGCACGAACCCGTGTCCCCTACATCGGCAGGCGGACTCTCAACCACTGCGCCACCAGGGAAGCCCGGCAGGCAGATTCTTAACCACTGTGCCACCGGGGAAGTCCCTATTCACTGTTAATTTATCAGACGTATACATTGTACCATTTACCTTAAGTGAACAAAAACCATTAAACTTCTATCTGTGGAGCAGAGCTTCCATATTGATATTGTTTGAATATACAGAAGCAATTTTGTTATTTTACCTACATACAGACATACCTAGATTCCGAGTTCAGATTTGCTGTTTTATCATTTTGTTCCTTTAGGCAGATGATTTACCCTGTTTGAACTTCAGTTAGCTAGCATGTGAGAGGCATGCACAGTATTTTGCTATGACAGGTATGTTAACCACAATGTGAAGGAATTTTTGGCATGATCAGAACTTTTTTTTTCCCCTTTCTAGATGTTACCATCCATGAGGATCATTGGGTTGGTGAGACAGTACTGCAATCAACATTTACCAGTCACTTATTAAATCTTGGGAGTTATTCATCTGTCCATCCTGAAGAATGTAAGACACATTTTAAATATAATAATTTCTTAGTATTTGAAGTATATTAGAAAAAAGTAGGGTTAAAATGGTAATGTTACAAAATGTCTTCTAAACAAGTTAGCTGAAAGGTATTAGTTTATTTTCTTTGTAAGAATGAAAATAGAATTTACAAAAATTAACTTGTATAGTATAATCATATTTAAGAAATATTGGGGGCTTCCCTGGTGGCGCAGTAGTTAAGAATCTGCCTGTCAATGCTGGGGACATGGGTTCAAGCCCTGGTCCGGGAAGATCCCACATGCCGCAGAGCAACTAAGCCCATGCGCCACCACTACTGAGCTTGCACTCTAGAGCCCGCGAGCCACAACTACTGAGCCCACGTGCCACAACTGCTGAAGCCCATGCACCTAGAGCCTGTGCTCCACAACAAGAGAAGCTACCATAATGAGAAACCCACACACTGCAACATAGAGTAGCCCCCGCACACCACAACTAGAGAAAGCCTGCACGCAGCAATGGAGACCCAACACAGCCAAAAGTTAAATAAATTAATTAAATAAATTTAATTTAAAAAAAGAAAAAAATATTGGGGTTCATGTTTCATTTTCTTATTTTTCTTAGAGTCAATATAGTCATGGTTCTTAACCTTTTAGCAAGTCATAGACCTCTTTGAGAAGCTATGGGCCATTTCTTCAGAAAAATAGACTTAAGTAGATAGATATAAAACCTTGCATATCATTCCAAGTGGTTCCAGGGACCTCAGAAGTTCTTCTGTGGAGTTTCTGAGCCTCTGGAATTCTTGAGGTAATGAAAAGAGGGGGTTGTATGGCAAATACATGTTCAGTTTTAAAAGAAACCACCAAACTGTTTTCCAGAGTGGCTCCTACCAGCAGTGTATCTTGTAGTTTCTCTGCATCCTTGTCAGCATTTGGTATTGTCCTGTTTTGAAATAGTAGCCATTCTAATCAGTGTGTAGTGATATCTCATTGTGGTATTAATTTGCATTTCTCTAGTGGCACAAGACAGATCTAATAGACAGAATATAACTAAGGACATAAAAGATCTAAATAACATAGTGAACAGTGTTGATCCGATGAATAGGATAGATCCTATGGATATAAATTGAACTCTACATTCTAATGATAGAAATATGCATTTTTGTCATGTGTCCACAACACAGTCAGGAAAATTGATCCTATTAGGTCATAAAGAAAATGTCAGTAACTTCTATAAAGTGGAATTATTACAAACATGCTGATCAAATGGTATAAAACTAGAATTTATTAACAACAACAACAGCATGTCCTATATCTGGAAATTTTAAACCTATTAAAAAAATCCTGGGTGAAAAAGGAAATACAAACTGATATTATAGAATTAAAAAAAAATAATGACAGTGAAAACACTGCATGTCAGAATCTCTGGGATGCATTTAAGGGAGTTATCAAAGAAAAATTTGTTAGCTAAACTCTTTTTATCAATAAAAATAAATGAATTAAATTCCAAACTCAGAAAACTAGCAAAAGAACAACAAAGTAAAGCAGAGAAACAGAAATGAAATAATAAATTAATAAGAATAAGAATTTAAAAATGATAATTTTCGTGTTTCAAAAAAAGATGAACCAACTAGTTAATTTGATCAAGAAAAAAGGGAGACATGCACCCCAATGTTCATTGCAGCACTATTTACAATAACTAAGACATGAAAGCAACCTAAATGTCCACTGACAGAGGAATGAATAAAGAAGGTGTATGTGTATACAATGGAATATTACTCAGCCATAAAAAAGAATGAAATAATGCCATTTGCAGCAACATGGATGGACCTAGAAATTATCATATTAAGTGAAGTAAGTCAGAGCACTCATATGTGGAGTCTAATTTTTTAAAAAAATGATACAAGTGAACTAATTTACAAAACAGAAACAAACTTACAGATATGGAAAACAAACTTATGGTTACCAAAGGGGAAACATGGCGAGGAGGGATAAATCAGGAGCTTGGGATTAACATACACACATAACTATATATAAGGTAGATACCAGCAAGGACCTGCTGTATAACACAGGGAGCTCTACTCGATGTTCTGTAATAACCTATATGAGAAAAGAGTCTGAAAAAGAATGAATATATGTATATGTAAACTGAATCACTTCATTGTACACCTGAAACTAACAAAACATTATAAATCAACTGTAATACAATAAAGTTAAAAAGAAAGAAAAGAAAAAGAAAACGAAAAGAAAAAAGGGAGAAAGCACAAAGATACAGAATAAATGACAAGGAGAAAATAACCATTGAAACAGAAATTAAAAACCAATAAAAGGGAACTTCCCTAGTGGCACAGTGGTTAAGAATCTGCCTGTCAATGCAGGGGGCACAGGTTCGATCCCTAGTCCGGGAAGATCCCACATGCCTTGGAGCTACTGAGCCTGTGGGCCACAACTACTGAAGCCCGTGCACTCTAGGGCCTGCGTGCTGCAACTACTGAGCCCACGCACCTAGAGCCCGTGCTCTGCAATAAGAGAAGCCACAACAATGATAAGCCCATGCACTGCAACGAAGAGCCTGCGCTCACTGCAACTAGAGAAAGCCCGCACGCAGCAATGAAGACCCAAGGCAGTCAAAAATAATAATATGTTAAAAAAATAAAAGGGTATTTTACAGAACTTAATGCAAATAAATTTGAAAAAGCTAGATATATAATTTTCTAGGGAAATACAGATTGCCAAAATTGATCCCGTTAGAGATAGAAAGCTTAAACTGACCAGTTTCTATAGAAGAAATACAGGGAATTCCCTGGCCTTCCAGTGGTTAGGACTCTGTGCTTCCACTGCTGGAGGCCCCAGTTGGATCCCTGGTCTGGGAACTAAGACCCCACAAGCGGTGAGGTGCAGCCAAAAAAAAAAAAAAAAAAGAATTAAGGAGCTACCATACAAAAAAGTGCCAGGCCCAGATAGTTTCATAGGAAATTCTACCAAACCTTCAAAGATCAGATAATTCCAATGGTGTTAAAGTTATTTCAGAGTATTTTTTTAAATTAATTAATTTATTTTTGGCTGTGTTGGGTCTTTGTTGCTGTGTGTGGGCCTTTCTCTAGTTGGGACGAGCAGGGGCTACTGTTTGTTGCACTGCATGGGCTTCTCATTGCAGTGGCTTCTTTTGTTGCACAGGCTCTAGGCGTGTGGGCTTCAGTAGTTGTGGCATGCGGGCTAAGTAGTTGTGGCTCATGGGCTTAGTTGCTCTGCTGCATGTGGGATCTTCTCGACCAGGGCTCCAACCTGTGTCTCCTGCATTGGCAGGCAGATTCTTAACCACTGCACCACCAGGGAAGTCCATGTTCCAGAGTATTGAAGAAGGAAAATTCCTAATTCCTTTTATAAAGCAAATATAACACTGACACCTAAACCAAATAAAGACATTACAAATAAAAATACAAACCAGTATTATACATGATTATTGGTACAAAAAGTTTAAACAGAATTTTAGTAAACAAAATCTAACACCACATTAAGAAAATAATGACCAAGTGAGATTTATTCCAGAAATGGAAGATTTGTTCAGTATTAGAAGATACATGAGTATCATATTTCATATTAATAAATCTAAGGAAAAACTTATATGACTATCTCCATAGATGTTGAGAAATCCTTTGAAAATATTCAACATCAATTTATCATAAAAAGCACTCCAGGAAGTAAAAATTGAGGGATACTTTCTCCTTCTATCAATAAGTACAGTTTCAGTACAGTGCTACAGTTACAATACAGTTGATACTGTATCAATAATATAGATATGCTTAGCCCTAATGCCTAATCTTTAATGGAGAAACACTAGAGGCATTTCCACTAAAATCAGTAATAAGATAAGAATGTTCACTATCTCTGCTATTCTTCACCATTATATATAGACTTATTAACCAATGCAATTAGACAAGAAGAGACATTTGAATGGGTGAAGAAGAATAAAAACTATCTCTATGTAAAAATGCTTTGATAACATATCTGGAAAACTCCAGGGACTCAAAGATAAAATCAGTTCAAACAATAAAAGAATTCAGTGGTGTAACAATACAAAAAGTACTGTTAAAAAAAAATCAGTAGGGCTTCCCTGGTGGCGCAGTGGTTGAGAGTCCGCCTGCCGATGGAGGGGACACGGGTTTGTGCCCCGGTCCAGGAAGGTCCCACATGCTGCGGAGCGGCTGGGCCCATGAGCCATGGCCGCTGAGCCTGCGCGTCCGGAGCCTGTACTC